GTGGAGACAGCGGCTGTCCACTGTGAATCACAGCACAGCTCTGTCTCGCCGAATTCTACACCTGAACTTGCAACAGAAGGGAATTAAAGGCAGAGAATGCCAAAGTCAATGTGATCCAAAACTTGGTAGCTTTTCATGCGACTCATTCCAATTTGGGCTCCCAACAAATTTCAATTTCCAAATTCACTGTGTAAGTGTGAGTATTGGGGAAGTAAAGCGGGGCTGGGTGTGTTTTCAGACCTGTGCACTTCCTCCTACTGGCTGTGTGACATTGGTTAAGTGATCTAACCTCTCTGACCCTTGCTTCTCCTGTATCAGTTTTAAAATGTGGCTAATTTCTCTCGTTTGTCTCCAGCTCTGCAATATAACTTGTGCTGTTCTCTTAGCTTAATCATATGGAATGCAATTGGGACAGTGAGACGGGAGATAGGAGCTACCTATATTTATATAGCATTGGATGGTATATAAACAGATATAAGTAACATATATTAGGATATGTATTAACACGTTATATCATATATCATATCTTTATGTTATATAATGTATTGAACATACAATATGTAAATGATACATCATATTGGACAATATTTTGCCAACATTAAATTAGCTGGCAGATTGGCTAGGCTTGCTATTTAAGGTTTATTTTACTATTTACAAGAGGATTGTACTCTGAGTACTGTTACTGTTTTCTTTTCTTTTTATTGGTTATTGGGTTTGAACTCTGGGCCTGGACTCTATCCCTCAGCAGTTCAGCTCAAGGCCAACGCTCTACCACTTGAGCCACAGCTCCACTTCCAGTTGTCTGAATGTTTTATTGGAGATAAGAGTCTCATGGACTTTCCTGCCTGGGCTGGCTTTGAACCTCAATCCTCCGATCTCAGCCGCCTGAGTAGCTAGGATTATAGGCTTGAGCCACCAGTGCCCGGCTACTGTTTTATTTATTGGTTTATTGAGTGTGCAGACACACATGCACACAAGTCCTGGGTCTTGAACGCAGAGCCTCATGCTCTTACATGGCTTTTTCACTCAAGGATGGTACTTTACCGCTTGACCCATTCCTCCACTTCAAGCTTCTTACTGATTAATGGGAGATAAGATTCTCACGGAGTTATCTGCCTATGCTGGCTTCTGACTGCAATCCTCAGATCTCAGCCTGTGAACCACGGGTGCCTGACTTCAGTACTCTCACTTTATAATCTTGATGACCCTGGGATCTAGACATTGGACCATGGCACAGGAAAAGTGAGCTTTTCTCCACACTGGAGTTTCTGTAATCAAATGTGAGGATGTATGGGAGGAGCCTTGAACCATGAATGCCCCATTGGGAAGGCTCTGTGGACTTCTCTTTGGGGCCTTTATCTGCATGCAGAGAGTCTCCCTCGCTACTTTCCCTTCATGCTTTCCTTTCACTGTCAAATCGACTTGCTGGGTCAGCGTCAAATTTAAAAAAGTAAAATGAGACAAAGGATATTCCTTTATTTTTATTTTAGGTACTTTCTTGTTTATTTTTATTTGTGGCTTTCTGTAACTCTCTGTTTAATACAATTCCAGTGGAGTACTTTTCTACCCCCCCAAAAAGGTAGCCATGGTAATAGAAGAATCTGGATCTTTTAAACAAACAAGCAAACAAACAGTAAGCTATCCCACTGATCTCTCTAGTTTCTGGTGGCACTGGGGTTTGCATGTAGGACCTCCAGCTTGCTAGGTAAATGCTCTACCCCTACACTCTACCTCTAGCCCCAGTATGCAGTCCTTAGGCTATTTTAAACATCACCCTGCAAGCATTCATAATTGGCTCCCAAGAAGCTCAAAACGCCTGGCTGCCAGCGTGCACCTTTTCAGGGCTACATAATTCTCCCAGTGGTCTGATCCAAAGTTGAATTCCCTAGGGCTCTCCTAAACCCTGGACTCAGTACAGAAGAAGAAAAGTGAATTCCATAGTGGACATTTTCCATACTACTCTCTTTAAAACTCAAGGAGCAAATGGATAGTTTAATAGCGTGTAGATACAGACACCTAAAAACATAAAGCATTCATTTTCCTCCTCCTCCTGGAAAGTTTATCAGAAGCTCCTACATTTTATGGAAAATGCTGCTATTTAGCACATGAAGTCTGATGGCTTCAGAAAAGAAGAATTAGGCAGTTTCTCAGCACTAGCTTATATAAATACATCAGAACCACACCTAGTTGCTTTTTCATTTCCAGCACTTTTGAGAGCAAGGAGGGCAGGGGGGAGGAGGGAGGGCTAAGGTTTCTCCAAGGCTGTGCTGCTCCCAGAATACAAGCGGGGAAGAGTGGGGAATGAACTCCTCCCCAATCCTCCCACATTAAACTCAGCTCTGAGGCTCTCGGGCTTAGGGAATAGCTTAAAGAATTGTGTACTCAGAGTGTTAGGCCCCAACAGTCCTGCTCCAGGAGATCGTCATCAGTTAATCTCTGTAAATGACTATGATTTGGGCAGATGTCAAATGGTACATTAATGGCTCTCATGTTAAGATCTTTTTTTCTTTTTTTAAAGCATAGGGCAATGAGGGGAAACTAGAAAGATAACAATCTCACCTTGGGTCTGGCTATACCGTGGCTGGCTTGAACCAACTTATTCCTGTTGGGTTTCTTGTTGGCAGTATCCCTGAGTTTGCTGAGGTACACACAATGCCAAAGAGACTAGGCCAAGATGCCACCACCCAGTGCCACATAGCAGAATCCTCCCCACACACCATGTCCTGGTCACAGACTGTCCCTCAGACGGTGTCTGCAAAAAATACCACCGAATGCCCAAGGAATGTGAGGTTGATAGAGAAACAGAACTTGCTGGAAGCCCTTGCCAGGCAGCATTCTTTCTGAGGCCGTAGAACTGTCTAGAATCATGCCGTGTTGTTGCTTTGACTCCTAGTACCTTGGCATTAGGCTGGACTATGCAGTTAAATGGCTAGATGATGTTTTCAAAAGGCCTTAGAGTTGGAGTTGTGTCTCTCTGTAAAGGAACTTCAGGTTTTTCAGTGTGATTGGGAAGATCGCTCCATCACAAAATAAGGAGGGTACAAGAAAAGCTCCACTCCAGGGTCACCGAGTTTTGGCATGATTGACTGACACAGAATGTTCTAGGAAAAAAAAAAAGATGAGTTTTGATGTTTCTGATGAGCCTGAGTGAGGGGTACAGTCCCCTTTGTCCACAGAGCTGGTGCTTAAAATACCCGGCCCGTGAGAGGCCTCTCACACGTAGGTTTGCACCGACCCAGCCTGCGTGACTCAGGGTGTTTGTGTTTGAGTGTTGAGGGCTACACGCTGAATCAGAGTCCAGATTTGCCTCGGTGACACATGAAAAGAGTGCGAGCATTGCCTCTGAACTACACAAATACTATGTTGAAGTGCTTTTCCTTCTTTCGGAGCCACACAGGTCTTGTCAATGATAAAAATCACCGCAGTATAGCAGCTCCTTCTTCTGGGCTGGAATTTGAGACGGTGTGAGTGGTTCCAGGGGCCCCATGGCAGGAAGACACAGCGAGCCGCTGATATGGAGCCACAGCACAAGTTTTATACAGTTTAATTTTATAACTGTAGTATTTGGGAACTGAGTTGGGGGGGAGGCAGAGAAAATGTGCTGTCCTTTGTCTCAGGCCTACCCTGGACTGCGAGTTGGGAAGTGAAATACAGAGTCTTCTTTCTAACTTGCCATGCACTTATGACCCAAGAAGGGTCCCTTTTCAAGGGCAATCTTCAGGCAGGTTCATCAGCTATTCAGGCTCACACCTGCCATCCTATTTAGGAGGCTGAGATCTGAGGATTGAGGTTCAATCCAGGCCAGGCAGAAAAGGCTATGGGAGATGCTCATCTCTGATTAAATGACATAAAACCAGAAGTGGTGGTGTGGTTCAAGTAATCCAGCCTAGAGAGAAAAAGCCAGGGGCGATCCTTTGGGGCTGTGATTTTAAGCCCCAGTGCCAGCACAAAGTAAATACATAAATCAATTAACTAAATGAAGAATACCTCAAAGGTGGGGAGGGAGCAAAAGGTTGTTTTCTTCACCAGAAGAGTAAATCGCCCAGCCCACTCTGGTTGTGTCTCTTTCACGAGAGCATGGCCTCTGACTTTTCTACTTTAGTGACAGAGTGATGTGAGGTTAGGAGGAGAAAACCAGGGCTTCACTCTCCTGCCCCATCTCCTGTGGTTGACAGTGACATCGACCCGACTGCTGTCCACAGGGCACTAAGGAGCACACCTACCCACCACGCATCCATTCCTGAGTTCCGAGCATGCTCAGAAAATAGGCTGGCTGCCCCTCCTGAGCGCCAGTGGGTCTGACCTTCTGGGCACACTGGACAGGCCCAGGCTGTACCTTTCTGTCTGCCCCCTCTTAGGAGCACCCTCAGCTGTGAGCTTTGGAGAAGAAAGGGAGAAAGGAAGCCGGGGCTGCTGGGGAGCCATACTAATAGCAGGAAATCTGATTCCCTTGGTGCCAAGGGTTTGCAGCCCCACCCCATTTCCTGTGGATGGGCGTGTAAACCTCCAGGGCCCACGCTGCTGCCTGTAAGGCCCGTGGCACGCTGGAGAGCGGCACTCAGATGCCCCTGGCTGCCACGGCCCACCCACCAGAGCCAACAGGAAATGCATTTGTGTCCCTGTCGGGGAATCGGCACAGGCTAACACCCCACCAGGCAGATCCTGCAGATGGGTGCCCACAGGGTGCCCAAGTGGGTGCGGGGAGGCCTACCCCAGACTTGGGGAGCACCCGGGAGCCTCTTAAGAAAGAGGCTCAAGTCTACTTTAGGGATGACAGCCCAAATTCTCACAGGCAGTAAGAGAGCCCCATGATCATGCTGGCAGCAAGCTAATGTTGGGGGTGAGGGGAGAGGGAGGGGGAAGATAAGAAAACCCCCACTTTTAGAAAGTCCACAATACATTTTCTGATCTCTTCCCTCCCTCCTTCCTCCTCCCTGCCTCTCTTCCCCATTCCCTTCCCCCTCCCTTCCACACCTGCCCCCCTCCCCCCTTACAAATAGGACATCGGCAGAAACTAGATGATCAGACCAAGCCCGGGAGCTTGTCCTTTTCTGAGCGGCTCAGTGAACTGGAGCAGCTGAGGCGCACGGCCATGAGGGTCAGCCCGCACCACCCCGCCCCCACGCCCAACCCTCGCGCCTCCTTGAACCACACCACTGCCTTTAACCCCCAGCCTCAGAGTCAGCTACAGGGTAAGTACCTGGATGGAGCCACACCTACCTGGCCCCTGCCGGAGGGGGGAGTCCCTGAAAAGCTCACCCAGAACACGGTGGGCTTTTCTTGGATGCACAAAGGAAGCTCTTCATGCTTAGCTGCAGCCCCTGGGAGCGTGTGAGACATAGAGGCCCAGGCTCAGTCAGCTCTGCACTGCTACAAGAGGCCCTGGGTTGGGAAGCATGGCTCTTAGAATATAGAGAAGATATGGCTGTGGATAATATGGGTATATACATACATGTCCATACATACACATACATATACACACATATGCACACAACACACACACACACACACACACACACACGTTGGCATCCAGAGCATGGGTTCCAGGACCCAAGTCCTGTCTATAAATGGCCTGGCATAATATTTGCACATGACCTATGCACTTCTGTGCACTTCTTCTATATACTTTAAATCGTCTCTAGGTGACTCATAGCATTGATACCATGTAAAGGCTATGTCGATAGCTGTTGTGTTGTTTAGAAGATTGTGACAAGTACAAATGCTGTATGTTTTGAGTATAAACACATTAAGAAATATTTCCAACTCATGGCAGGTTAAATCTTCAAATGTGGAGCCCTTAGATAGAGAGGGCCAGCTCTGTGTGTACATAGTGATGAGGCTTTGTCATAGTAAGCTTTGGCTATGTGGTTCTCTTACCTGACATTAGATTTGAAGATACACACACACACACACACACACACACACCCTACCTAGTAAGGTGGAGGTGAAAATACTTTATATTCTTGTTGCCTTTATATTATTTGTGGATTTTTGTATCAAATATTTGGTGCTGTTGTTGTTGTTTGCCAGTCTTGGGCCTTGAGCTCTGGGCCTGAGTGTTGTCCCTAAGTTCCTTTTGCTCAAGGATAGAGCTCTACCATTTGAGTGATACCATCACTGCCAGCTTTTTCTGGTGGTTCATTGGAGATAAGAGTCTCACAGACTTTCCTGCCTGAGCTGGCTTTGAACTGCGATCCTCAGATCTTGGCCTCCTGAGTAGGTAGGATGGCAGGTGTGAGCCACCAGTGCCCAGCCTGTTATTTTATTTTTAAAAAATAGAAAATAACAATAGGAGGACTATCTATATATATACATATATATATAATTACATCAAGCATAATGTTTTTAATTATCTTTAAGGCGTTATTATTATTATCATTCAAAGAGGTTTCTATTTGCATAATACTTTCAAATCTATAAAGAGTATGATTGCCCTACTCCAGGGTACTAGCTGGCAACTGAAAAAAAAACTTTCATATACAGTAAGGACACCAAACCCACCACACCAGATAACACACACAACTCATTCACGTTGCAAAGCGTGACGCTGTTTCAACCATGCAGAGAACAGTCATTTTATGTGCCATGCAGGACACAGCTGTACATGATATGGCCGTAGTACTAGTCATGTCTCGGGGAGCTAGGCTTGTTCAACCTAAAGAAAAGAATAAGTACCACATCTGGAGCAAAGGGCAGGTGACCAGCAGTGCATGGCGGGAGCTTCTCTGCTGCTCTTGGATAGTAGAAATAAGCTTGCCCAGGCATTTTTCTGCATAGGAGTTGTGTCATGGGGTGCACGTCTGTTTGGTACAGGTTCTGGGCCACTGCTTCTCTCCAGGGGTTAGTATACAGATGGATGCTCTCACAAGCACTGTCCACATTTTCTACAGAGCATGATAAGCTGCCTGTCCTGTGGCTCCCCCAGTTACGTGGGTGGGAGACGGTCTTTCATTTGAGCGGAAGATTCTCAGCTCTTCCCATGGGTCACCACACACACAGCCACTGTGATGTGGCCTCTCTTCGTCTTGTGTAGATACTGAGACTCAAGCAAGGTGTTTGGGGTTGCTGCCTCTGGAGTTAGATTTGAAAAGAAAGCTCTGTGAAATCATTGCTTTCCTGCTGCTTGATTGTCACAAATAAGTATTTTAAAAACATGTGCATCAGTTCCAATAGATCCCATAATACAAACCTCTGTGGGAAATGAGGGCAAATGGAACTTGCCCCAAGGAAGATGGGCTCGGGCTGGAACCATGTTTTTCTGCTGAAGGGACTATATAAAGCCCAACTCTTCAATCTTGGGTTTGGGGTCCTTTCAATGTAAGTTATCTTCAGATTCCATGAGTAAGAGCAGAAGGAAGACCTCTTTTCTCCATCTCGAACCACTTCTCTGGCCATTCATATGACAGAGTTGAAAAGGCGATTACCTTTTTTTTTCCTGCTGTTATGAAGCATCTTTAAAGGCAATGGGAAGCCCAGCCCTATGGAGTATATTGAACTTGTCTCCATGGATTCTACTTTTCTCACACAATTTGAGTGAGGAAATCTTACCTATTATTTTTACATCATCTATGTCTCTTTGCAATAGAGCAGGGGGGGCGGGGAGGGTGGGGGGAGGTCCCATCGAATTCCTTGACCTCTGGCACTTGACTTCTGACACTGGGGTGTAGGAGTCACCAGTGGCAGTCTTCAGCAATTTGGAGTTCTACGTACTGACTAAAGTATGAGGGTTCACACCAGTGTCACCCCTTTCTTGTTCCTTTTCAAAACGTTTTACTTTCTCAACATCTAAGCAATAATAATTGGCTTTTAGAGTTCCCGAAAGGGCTTAGTTGCGTCTCTAAAAAAAAAAATGGTGTTAACTAGATTGTCCATGTTCTTTTGCTCCAAAACATGAATTTGATATGGAAAACGTCACTTGCAAAATGGCAAAAACAAAGCTTCAGAAACAAATGTCCAAGATATTTCCGTTCGAGTACTTTTCCTTTCTCCTGTGCCTGGCTGCCTTCCTCCCCTGAGCCCTCCCCTGTCCTCCCCTCCTTCCCCCACCTCTCCTCTTCTCCCTTCCCCTCCTTCCTTCTTTCTTCCTCTCTCCTCTTTCTGTTCTTTTCTCTCTTCTTCCTTCCTCTCTCTTCCTCTTTCTCTTCCCATAAGAAAGTGCTATTTCAGGCCAGTCAAGTTTCACATGGACCTTTGCCTTTTTCTTTTCTTCTTGAAATTAGAACATTTACTGGGATTATATGAGTCTTTTTCAGTCAAGACTTTCCCTGTATTCTTGACCCGAGGAAAACGGTTCATTTCCAGGCTTAGTCCTACAGTATTCATATTATACTGAACACAATGCTGTAAGCAATACCACTTGTGTTTTTAGTTCTCTTTGAAATGACAGCAGTAGTTTTAAGAAAAATATCCCAGAAGTAGTCAGGAAAGTTCTTCAGTGATACAGTACAGATGTGGGAGTGTTTTTCAAGTTTACAGAAACATCAGTGATCCGAGGACTGGAAGACAGGCCACCAGGGTTTATAGACAGTGTAGGGACTGCCTAGCTGGGACCTTGGTGGGAGGGTCGGGGGGAGGAGCCTCTCCCCATCTGTGGACGGGAAATCACAGCTAGAGACTCACATCTCTATTTGTCTAGAATCAGTTGTGCTAGAGAACCATCTGTTCAGCAAAAGAGTGTAGGTAGAGGGACAGGAGGGAAAGGTGGCAGGTTGCTGTACCACCAAACCACTGTTTGTTTATTGAGATTTTAACAATAAAAGGTTTGAGGTGAATTTCAACTTCCTATTTTACCAGGTCTTAAAATTGAATAGAAAGCCATTTTGTCACGGCTACATGTTTACTCAAGTCAAGACACTATCATTAATTTCAACAGTCAAGTGTTAAGATTCCTTTATATTCCTTTAAAAACAAGAGGCGGAACACTCTTGAAAGCTGAGGGTTCCAATGCCTGTTGGCTTACACCTCCCATTCAGCAGCTGGCTCTGGGCAGCCCAAGTGAGTGATTTTTAAGAATGTTGAGTATGATTTACCAAATGTGATTGGAGTATATATTGAAGGCGATGTAGCTCATTCCTCTCTGAAGAGTTAGGGATGACATGACAGATGCTTGTCCTCAAGTCTGTCACCCAGATAAACTATGGGTGCCTGTGGTGGTGGTTGTGAGTGTTGGTTGCTATAAACATCTCACCATGAGGTTTCACTCTTTCATTGGACTCATCGTAATGTATGTTGGCATGGGCTAGTCTTTCCATATACATTATTCTGTTCTCACAACAATCATGATAATGCTTTGTAGGCAGAGAAATTGAACCCCACAAGTTAAAAATTGCCCACAGTCCCCAACCTTATAAGTGGGAAACTTGGGTAACCTAGACCTTTCTGGAAGCACGGCCAGTGCTGGTGGGTAGAAGACCCTGCTGAGCTTGCACTTTTGACTCACTGGCTCCAGGGTTGATGGGTGTTGATAAGAATCCCAATTGCCAATGGAGGATCAGAATCCCAATTGCCAATGGAGAGAGGGTAACAGTGTCCGGGGAGTCACTTATGGTTCCTGCCTGGGTTGAATGTTGTGACTGGATGCTGGCAGTAATAACAGTGCTCTGTGGTGGGTGCCTGAATGGATCTTTGGTCCATTTTGGTCTTTTCTTATACATGTACATTTATCTTTAGAGATAGGAGAAAAGAAAACTCAGAATAATGAACCTCTGAGCATACAGAAAAGGGACGTGGATGAATAGAAGAGGGCTCCTAGACACACCGCTTTCTCTCTTGATGGTGGCTCATGTCTATAATCCTAGCTACTTAGGAGGCTGAGATATGAGGATCACAGTTTGAAGCCAGCCCATGCAGAAGGTCTGTGAGACTCTTATCTCCAGCTAACTACCAAAAAAAAAGCCAGAAATGAGCTATGGCTCAAGTGGTAGAGTACCAACTTTGAGGGAAAAAAAAGCTTAGGAACAGCACCCAGGCCCTGAGTTGAAGTCCCAGGATCAGCACACAAAAAGGGGCAGGGGTTGAGGGAGACAAGAGTCTCTCTTGTGTTCATTAGGCAAAAAATTACTTCCCTATACAAACTCAGGCAATACCTACCAGCCTGTGGGAAGTGCCGACTAGCCAAGAGGGACCATGGAATCCCAAATTACCTCTCACACTTGAAGGGCAAAAGTTCAACATCCAATAGGAGGGCCCACTC